ACCCTGTCGCGATTTCCGCTAGAAGTCAAAAGTTTATCCCAAATTTCCAAAGACATCTTTAGTTGAAAGTTAGAAAGCCCGACGTGTCCATTCTATACACAAATTTTACTCTAATCAATGCAAGCCCACAATTTTCACAACTTGCCAAATATCTATCAACCGCACATCTGCATAGTTTGTTTTTCATCATCTTTCCATACCGTCAGCAGTTCACGCCGTAAAATCTCTACAGATATTCCCTGACAAAGGGAACTATTTAAACTACGCCACCTTAGTCCAGTCAATCTACGGTTTCAAGGCACATTATACCGTTACAACTACATCACATTTACCACCTTGGCGAAATAAAATGGTATCTTCCGAGTCCATGCTTGTTTATTCCATTGTATAATTGTGTAATTTACCGGTTTCCTACCATAAATACTGCCACTGCAGTCATAACACCAATGTTCACCACTAGATTTCAAATCAAGGAATTCATTATTCCATGGACAGTGATGAGCCTTTAATCGGAATTTGCTACTCATTGACCATGGCATCATGGACACTCATTAACAATGACGTCTACGAGTATTAATATTATAATGCGGTAAAAACAAAATATCAGCCTGTTGAACTTCATTGGGAGTGCTGACATCAAAATATGCCGAATTATTTTAGGTGCTGGTCGATAAATTTGCCATATTGCCTGTTGTGCTTTTTAATTTTCAGCAACTGAAACGTGTGACTTTTGCTGCATCAGCAAATTTATTAATCGCTCATCTACCCCTTCAATATCCTTTTGGTGAACCAATTATAGCTATAATCCGCTGACTAATTAACAATCCCTGACACTAGTTTACCTTTTATCATAGATCCTATTAAAAATTAGCAAACGACATTCTGAGATTTTTTACAGACTTTAACGTATGAATGAATTTCACATCAGCAATATGCAATTGTTTTAGATCTAGATTTTTATGTGCAACATCATGAACGTGACACGCTTGATCAATCACATTTATTGGATACTCTCATGGTGTTAGTTAAACTTTCTAGTCAAGTCGGATATCAAGTCAGGCTCCAGGACCACAATAATTATCGATGAAGAGCTTCTCGCCAGAATACTTAGCCCATGGAGCCCGTTAGCAATTTCCCCAGTGAAGCAGCGATATCTACACCATTAACACTAGGCAAGTGGAAGATAAATTTGTATTTTGTACCATATTTCACACACTTGCCTGTATGCTTGACTCCAAGAATGACCTTTCTGACATTTCTACAAAATCCAAAGATATGTAACAGTGGAATTGCATATAAAAATCATCTAACTCCATCTTTCAATATTGATCGACGTGCTGCGAATCATAAGTTAAACTCTGGATTAGCACCATGAACCACAGGCCACACATAAGCGTCAACATTGGCAGCATTGTTTCTTGGTCGTCTTATATAAACACTGCCTGTTGTCAAGCTGGTCAGAAGTATCCTTCACAAACGTCATTGACCAGCTGATCTTGAATAATCATTGGAATATCTTGCTAAACCCGATATGGTCTTGCAACGTTGGCGTTTTTAAGGCATAATTCAATGTTTCTTCCATCTATGATATGAATAGCACAGTGGAACAATTCCATTATGCCATTATTAACAAAACCAACTCTAACATCAGCTCCATGTTCAGTTTCATCTTTCTCAGAATTTATCCTTCTACTTCAATAATGCTTCAGCGTGCAGGTAATATTTGTATCCTGAAGTTGCAGCTCAATTCGTCCACGCTGATTTGGCTCTCGTGATTCATAAAAAATAATACTGATAATTGCGTACAGATACATGTTTGAGAACTTGCGCATCGATGTCGAATGCAGGATAAGACACACGCTAGAACATTATTTATATTTGTCATCGTCTAGCACGAGGACCGCTTCCCACTTTTAAACTAGCAGCTGTAATTATTTTTTACAAAGGTACACCAGCCAATTCAGCTAGTTTTATTTTTAATTTTGCAACTTGATTTATTATTTTGCTAACATTTTCTGGAAAAACTTCGGTGCTAGCCTGTTTAACTGGCTGAGATTTTCATCGTATTAATCTTTATATTCATTGATTTCTGAGAATACTGTACTAGTAACAAAACTAAATCTCCAATACATTTATCTTGAACAACGTCAATTTCTTCCTTCCCAGTTGATTTGCAATGGATATTGCTTTTGGAGCTATCCTGCTGAATAAACCCTTAACAACATCATCAAGTCCATCTCTGTAGGTAACTTTATAGGTTCGTAATCATGAATTTATCACTCTGACCATTAGAGGTCCACATTGAGAAAAATGTCATCTTATTTTTCTGTCACTGATCTAATTGCATCAATCATCAACAATTTTATCGACGAGCGACAGATAAACAGTATTGTCCATGATACCGCTTATAAATAATCTCTGACAAATAGCAGATGCTTCATTCATGGCTCCTGAGAAATTATTGCCGTCACGTTTTCCGCCAATTAGAATTTCAAATCTATCAACATTGGGGATCTTTTTTAGACATGTAGTATCAAGGCCAGTTCCTCTAGTGACTCAACAGCTCAGGCTACTTCCAGTTATTTCTTTTGCTTTTTGCTTACTTGCTGAACGTAATTTCTCTTTAGTCTAATTTCTTCACATTGCATATCTTTTTGTTTGTCATTTTTAAATTGAAACTTCAACTGTTTTTGTTTCCTTAATTAGTTAACTTCTTCAAGTTTTGACCTTATTTCTTTTTCGTTTTGTTTCCTTCCTTTCTTTACTTGTTCAATATACTCATCTACGTCCTGGTCAAAATATAAAGCTATCTTCCTCAGATTTGATCTGCGGAATACAATTCACGGTCGGGAGATATTTATTAATTGCCTCTAGTCGCTGTCGAGCTAGTTTAGATGCGTGAGATTTCATGATTAGTGTTATTATTGATAAAAAAAAATGATTTAATTTTACTACACAACAGCGAGGGTGGAGTGGGTGGGATGGGGTGGGGTGACGACCAATAGGTCGCTAAGCGAGGATGCATAAAAATTTGAAAACAAGAATGAGTTAACCCGGTTAGAGACAACTCGGTGCAAAGTTAATAAGCAACCTTGACTTATAGCTCTAATATTCAAATCTTTTTAAATACACCTGGTACCTTGCTGTCAGAGACTATACGTTTTCTTCTGTCAAATACCCTCTGTACGTAGGCTTATGTTTGTCATTGCTGCAGTTATGGTCTTTCAGCGTCTACTGCATCGGCTTTTGTATTTGCTACTGCATGTTTTATTTCATTAATATTAATTCCTCCCTTCTAAGTCTAAAGTCTTCCGCATTGTAGAATAAGTAGGATGTTTAAACAATGGAAAATCTTTATTGATTAAATTGTTCATAGCTAAATCGACGAGATAAAGTACTGGGTATTCATGAGCGTACAAATGTTTCACACGTATTTTCTTTATTTATTTTTAGAAAGCTGCTTGCCAGTTCCGGTCAAATGTGGAGAGTAGGAGACCGTCCAGATAACATTTGCAAACCTTGAAGGTTTATTCTATGATTAAATCTGTGTTCTTTCTTATTATATGCATAAGGCACACCATGATGTGCTATTATATGTGTAATACAAGCTAGAGTTATACTACTGTATACTATAGTAATTTATCAAAGAGTCTGGACAATAAGTTAACGCGAGCCTTCTCTTTGGGGTGTTATCGCGTTTCCACCTTGACTTAATATGATTAGTTCAAACAGGCTTATTTACACCATACACCTCTATTCTGATGTACGAGACTTAAACGATTGTAAAATATCTGTTATCTATTTTATACTGAATTTAAGATTGGAATTTCAGACTTTTTAATCATAAAACCGGTCACATAAGGTAAATAAAACAATGACAATACCGGTCACATAAGGTAAATTAACCCATCGTAGCACCGGTCACATAAGGTAAATTAACCAATCATAAGATCAGATTGGGTGCATTAGATTTACAATTATCGTCATACAAATTACTATTAAATTCATTACTATTCATTATTAATACTGATGTATTTTTTGTGTGCTGATTATTGGGTTTTAAAAGATTATCACTATTACACATCTGTGATAAATGTGCAGATTTGTTCATCAAAAACTTCATAGGAAGATATTTATCAACTTTTTAGCTTTGACATACACTTCAGGAAAGGTGCAATTAGCATTTAAAAATTTAAAGTTTAACTAATAAAACTTAATAAGTTTTGTGTTTTGTGTGAAATAAATGGCTTAAATATGTACGTATTTTCTTGAAATTTGCAAAAACTTGTCTTCCTTGCTAATATCTTCTCTTCCTTCCTTCTCTTCCTCGTTCTGCATATTAAAGTATTGCATGCCAAGATTCAGGATAAATACATGTATTACTGTGATTCAATCGCCTCCATACTATGACCAAAAACACTAATCAAATGCAAATGTCTTGGAAACCAAACTATAACTGAGGAAGGTTGGAAATATTTTTGTCTGTGACAAAAGCACAACTTTTACATAACAAAGCTACTTGCTATGGTTTTTATGCGTGGAAAAACCTCACTCTCAAATGTATTGGTTTTTACCAGAATTACATCTGTTGATAGAGTCGTTTTATTCCAGGAGTTTCTTTTCACATTTAATAATACAGATTATATATGGTTTCTAAAGGTGTCAAAAGTGGTTAATTGCGTGAAATGTGATACATTCAAATATGTTCGTTAAATACGCTGAATCTTGCTCCTAAACATGTGAGGCCAAAAGTGGGGTATGATCGTTAGACATGTGAGGCCATAAGTGCGGTTTGGCTGCTACACATGTGAGGCCATAAGTGTCTGCAGTGTGACAGTTTATAGTGATGTCTAGTACTGGAGCATCATGCCGCAGACATGTGGCATAATGTCCCACCCAGTCGCATTATCCTGACACCAAGCCAAATATTTTTAACACTAACCTCTTTATGCTGAGAGCCAAGCGAAGCAGCTATTAGTACCAATTTTTGCAGTCTTTGGTGTGACTAGGCATGGGATCGAACCCACGACCTCCCGCATCCGATGCGGAAGCTCTAACCACTAGGCCACTGGAACGGTAATAGTACTTGTTGGTATGTTCATGTGTATATAAAAGAGAGGAAATTGGAATGCAACAAAAAGTGTTGTGAGACCGACCAAGCATTATAAAATGTCAAAACGGTAGTCAGCAGATTGGTTTTCCATGCTTGATTTCTACGTGCAAAATAAACAAATAAACGCCTATTTACAATGTTGATGTACATTATCATGTAATGTGTTCTTAAATATGATAAATATGGTCATATGTTTCATACCCATATATATTCCCAAATATTTTATGAGGAACTTTGAACTTTTCTTGTAATATAGGTCACAGTAATATAGACATTTGAAGCGACCACTTTACGTGCATTACGTCTTTGTTATATATATATATATATATATATATATATATATATATATATATATATATATATATATATATATATATATATATATATATATATATATATATATATATATATATATATATAATTCGGTGCTTTATCTCTCCGACTTCTTGAGAGAATAGTAGGACTTAACATATGTTCCACCACTAATTATCTTTGATATCGACGCAGACTGATTCGTCTGAATAGGCCTTAGGAAGGTTTGTGAACCTAATAATCTTGTATAAATGTACACTTAAGAGACTTTGCAGTCAAGAAATTACAAAATAGTCAATAATGTATTTGGAATTCACATTTTATTTTGTCTTCTATGCAACAATAAATATTTTACATAAAAGTGTCACTTACTTTATTTTTTGAGGAAAATTGATGTTGTCCTTTTTCGTCCCAATTAACCTCCCATCTTCTTTGTTTTCTTCTTTCCCTCCTTCCTTGAATAAAGTGTTGGGTTTTTTTGCATTCATTTATTTATTTATTCTTCAGCTCTTTTTTGTATGCAAGAATCATGTGTATCATGATTTGTAAAGGTGCGAAGACTAGTTAATTTGGTGACATATGAAACATTAAAATTTGTTCATTTAATCTCCGCAAATGCTAAATTTCACGGAATCAATAGTTTCTACACTACTTAATAGGAAAGATTGAGCTAGGGAAAAAACTTTACTTTTGATCCAAATATTGACACGTGACCGCGATCAGGCGCCATCTTGTGGTGTGAAAAGTGTCTATCCAATGCTGTATGGTTGATCGCGTAGCATAGTATCGCCATGATCGACAGTGCCAATATAGTATCGCCACAATCGACAGTGCCAATATAGTATCGCCACGATCGACAGTGCCAATAGCTGCTTTTATAAAGAGTGTTCTTTACTTCAAATTAGTATCTGCTGAGACGGATATGCATATGTCTATTATGATATAAGATGTTTATCATAATCTTCTTCTCATTTCCTGCTATGAGAAGAAATTACGTATCTCTTATGAGCGGGCTCGGTCCATCATTAGAGAGATAGAGAGAATGAGAAAAAGGGGTAACGCATGATAATGTAGACAAGGCTACATTCCTTTGGGGACACTCGGCAAGCGGATAGGTGTCAAGGATTCTGTAATAAATACAAGAGTTCTTATCTAGTTAAAGTGGGAAGTCAGACTTTATTTATATAATTGATATAGAAGATATATAATTTTACATTTTATAGGTACACTTCCAAAAACCTTTACATTGAAAAATACACAAAATGCATTATAATACTTTTCTTTCAAGTTTACCAACTTCATATATTTATAGCTTTTCGTATTTTAGAATGTGTTACAAATAATAGAGCTGGATCAAATTAAAGATTATAAAATAGTTGCGATTAATGCAGCAATCATTTTAAAGAAATATATTTTACTCAATTTAGGATAAAATACTAATTTAGAATAGATTACAAAACATTATTCTTTATTCCTTAAAGATTATTTAAATTTCCAAATTAAATCTAAACATGAAGTCGGTAACCAATTCAATCTTTTTTACCATTATCATAAATACAATAAATATCAATTCTTAAAACAATTGAAAAATCCATCATATTATAATATTAGAATAAAAAGAGAACCCATAAGAACATTGCAAGGAACGTTAGAACAGAAATCTTTAACTTCCAAAAGTACTTATTCTCTAAGAAATTTTAGAATATAAAAAGGTCTTACCTGTAGTAAATACAAGAGTTCTCAACTAGTTGAAGCGGGAAGTCAGGCTGAACGCTAGCTTCTTTTGGGGGCTTATTTATACTAGATCAAGACACCTCCTAACCTTTTATGGTAACGTCTTGTTTTTGTTTTTTTTTTAGGTGGGGAGCTAACATCACGGTCGGCCTTTATGATTGTATCAATTAGAGAGAAAGGGTTTTATTCCCATAGAACTACTTATGTTTTGCGTTTCTATTTCTGCCCTTGGTTAACCCCCAAAGTCCAAAGATACTAAGTTGGAGTATATTAAGAAATTTTGCCACTGTGCGTAAGCTTGGTGAGTTTAGTTAATACATGTATAATGCGTCAAAACTTGTACTAGTTATAGAAGCAGAGTTTTACCTGTTGGTAAACATTATGAATAAAAATGAGTCCAAAGAAGAGTTAATTTTAATACAATTTAGAGGGATTTCTCATGTTATCATTTGTACTTAAATTGTCTCTCATAACATGTCTGTCCCTGATATAGATAATATACCACTGTGTTGGAAACCTCTGTTATTTGAAATCGCTTCTTCGTCCATTCACAAAAAGGAAAGTAAAGCTAAAAGAAAAAGACAAATGTTGCTGCACAAATAAAATCGCCTTCGTTTGTCGTTCTGAAACAGTCTAAGTTGTTTATATCTACAACCTACCGGTAACGTAATGAGAATTAACGGGTAATTTGAGTGTAAAATATCAGCTTTGATTAAAAAACTGGAATAAGTAAACGCAAAAGGTTCTGGCAAACTGTAAAATTTCAAAATGGTACTATCTTTTGTTGAATGGGCTTTGCCTGCACGTAATAAAAAATATATTTAATGGAAAAGATTTAACAGGCGTATTTCTATATGACGTTACGCATATAAATCAACACTTTATGTAATGACACGGTAAGATGAGCACTGTCATAAACTGGAACCACTTAACGATAATACAAAGTATAGAAGTATACTAAGTTTAGGAATCGTTATGGAACCACGCGCATTTCTTTAACATCAATAAGTGTACCCACATATATCGAAGACGAACGCTTAAAAACGTGGATTTTCAAAAGTTCCGGATGTACCACTCTCAGCTTTTCCACAGAGGCGGACCGAAACAGAACGGATACCTGTACCAAGATACGTAGGACGAGTGTATACGAAATTCAAAATGAAAGGACTCATCCTCAACTATCTAATCATTCATGTGGTCAACTTTTATAAGCAGAAGAATGTTGCTTTAAACCGTTGTCCGATAGACCACCAGAAGAGAGTTCGATTTTCACTATCATTAGCGCACTACTGTCAAATTAAAAATATAGAGTAAAGGAAGGAGACCGTTTTATCCAAGCCAACAAGAAAGGAAACAAAAAGATTTTTTTATTTACCTAAACAAGTTGGATGAATACGAATAAGATGATCTGCTAAACAGCTTGATGATACTGTTCACAACTTTTTTTTAAAAAGTCTCCAGTTTTTTCCTGGATATGTGAATTACAATGCAGGTAGGTTTAGATTTTGGTGATTCAAATCAAAATGCCCGAAATACAAAAATTATGTAATTGCGATCGAATTGTTTCCTAAACGATTTCGTTGAACAGATTATGTACTTTCAAGATGGATCTGAAATGGAAATTTATGTCTTGTCAAACAATCTGTTCTCTATATTGTATGTTCTAACATCCCAATTTCTGCAAGATACTTCCGCTGGTGTTGCATCTACAATAAGGATATCAATTTTTTTTAAGTTCCTTCAATTTATATTTCTGCATTTTAGATTAATTTTTATGATCTGTGCTTCAGACAGTCATTAAAGGTGCCAGGTAATAAGGTGTTGTGTTTGTATGCAGGCACGTGTATGTCATTGTGTGCGTACTTTTTTCGCGGAAAAATGATATGTTGTATTGTCAATTTTTCTTCTTTCAAGAACATTGCCCATACCAAGCCCTATACATTGAGAGCTGCCATGTGTTTCACATAATATTTATTGTGCCAATTTTATGTCAACCTAACGTATTGTATTCACCACAGTACACAACAGCTGTGTAACCAGGTATTCAATTTGGAGTGCAAATACACTTGGCCTGTGTAATCGTGCCTAATAACTACAATGTTGATTTGTAGATGAACACTTGCAGATGATTTTTATATAAATTTACAGTCAGGAAAAGAGATATAATGTTTCACAGCGAAGCAGAAAATTTAATTAATACCAAACATTCTGCGATGGGATATTACGTGACAAAAGTACGACCAGTTTTTGCAGAATTTGTTGGAGTATGTTTGTTCGTCATTATAGGATGCATGTCATTACAGGACAACTTACAGACAACTGTCGCCTTGGCTCATGGACTGACCATCTCATTGCTAATGATCGGTCTGGGAGGTATCAGGTTGGTAGGGAAACACTCACGCAAATATGCAACTGATGCACACGCACAACTTACATATATACGCACTGACAGATATAGGGGTAAATTGGAGGTGGGAGGGGCGATGCCGTAGCGACCCAGACCCCCCACCCCCACCCACCCCGAGAAGAAAGAAAGAAAACTGTGCAAGAAAGAACTGGAACGTCTCTCTGTAAGTTTTCGATACAAGACTAAAATTATGTCATGTAAACGCTTGAAATGCAGGCGTTTCGGGAATTATTGCCGTTGGTTTTGCTTTGTGATGCTTAAAGATACATAGACGAGTATTTAGCCAGATGTTTTACATATTATGGCATATTTCCACGAGAATTAAAAATTGCAAATAATTCTCCTTAGCAAAATCTGCAATTGATTTCTTGCAGAATACCCAATCAGTACAAGGAACTATAGAAAATATACATAACTGATATACTAAATGCCCATAAACCTCGCAACCTTGCATCTTCTGAAAATTTTGTATAATACATTAAGGAAAGCAAATGTCTTAAATTCTCTGA